CACCCACATGCTTGTGCCTTTCTCCTGCCATACTGCAGGGCTGATTTGCATTTAGTAGAAATGCTAAGGAACACTGTGCTCTGTGAATTGCCATTTTAGGATTCATCACATGCCTTATCAGCTCCGTAAGGTATAAATCAAATGTGAAAACGGGTCCCATGTTGTAGCCTGGGAGTCAGAGGTGGGTCTCTGGTTTCAACCAGACCACTCCTCTATGCCAGGGGTAGGGGGGCAAATTCTGGGCAATCTTCTGGAGGCCACATGTCAGTGCAGGATGGGACCAAAAGAAAAAGCAGATGGAGCAATTAATATAAATTTTACCTGTACATGGTAAGCTAGTCTCTACACACACACACACACACACACACACACACACACACCCCTCTCTAGCCTCCATGTGTGCAAGGACACATTCCAACCAGCCAAAAACGAAACGAAACCACCCAAAGAGAGTGCAAAATGGGGCCAGTGAGGGGTGTGGCAACTTAGCAGAAGACAGCTTTCTATGTTCATAAATCCTCCAGAATGATGAAGCCCAACTTTAATCACCTGCAGTTTCGCCCTCAAGGCAACAGCTGCAGTGGCACAAGGAACTGGCACTTGACCAACAGAATTCCTAGCTGAACTCCACAGTGCCTGGCATATTTTTTGTGTGTCCTTCACTGAAGTTATAAATGCTTGTACAGATGATATATTTCCAACGGCACTGCTTATGTGCTGCAGCAGTGAACCAAACGAATCCAAATAAACAAGGTCGCTTCTAGAAGGGGCTTTTGCTGCAAGAGCTTAGGATCCTTCCTTATACTAAGTCAGACTTTTGGTCTAGGTAACTCAGTACTGTCTACTCTGACTGGCAGCAGCCCCCCAGGGTTTCAGGCAAGGAATCTTTCCCAGTCCTACCTGGAGATCCTGAAGATTGAACCTGGAATCGACATCCAAAGCAGGTGTTTTGCCATTAAGCTACTGCCCAAATTCAGAGCCAAGTACATGTACATACATCAGCAGTGGAAGATAGCAGAGCTCATCCCACAGCAGAAATAAATGCATGAGATCCCAAAGCTGGGCATATCTGTATGCACCCCCAAGTCTTTTGAAGTTTGCCTGTTGGCTTGTGGACTTGAAGATCATGCAGGGATGTCAACAAAACTGTATACAGATCTCTCCAGCCCAGGAAATGCCATGCATTGCGCTCAGCTGCTGGAGGGGGGGGGGTCATATTTGATTACCCGGTGCCCAGAAATAGAGAAAACAGACCTGCTATTGGCAGACTAATTATAGAAAGTTTGCCTGTCTTTTGCAACAGTGGAACAGCAAGGGGTTAACCGTGGCAGGTTATTGCTCTATTATGCAGGCAAACAAAGGATCTTCCTGGGTGAGCAAAGGTCTATTTTCTTCTCTCTTAACCCCCCCCCAAACCCCTCAGTGGAAACAGAGACTAACAAAAAGCAAAGAAAGCAGCTCTGAGTTCTTGAGTTACAGAACAAAGCATTAGAAACTGACAAAAGATCTTTCCTGGAGAAGCGAGGGGAGTTGTAAATCCTGGCTTTGTTACAGGCATGGTTTTCATTTAAAGTTATGGTAATGCTTGAGAGGTCTGTCTCTCTGAAACACATGGATCACATATATTAAAAGTGAGAGCTATGCTGCAGAGGAAGCAGCCTTAAATGAAGTCAGGCAATGTGTCCATTTAGCATAGTATTCTCTAGTCTTGAGTAGCAAGAGCTGCCCAGGTGGTGTCTTTCCTTTCCCCTGCTCCCTGGGGTACTTCTGGGGCAGGGTGGTCCAACACGTTCCCACCCCTTCCCGCATATTGGACTTGTTCTCTCTCTCTTTGCAATAAGGAAAGTGACGGGGAAACACTCCAGAAACCGCTAAATAAATTCCCAACATCATCAAACCTTCCCACTTCCTTTATGCAAGCAAATCGGGATGTATGCTCAGCAGACTAGTCCAGAAATAACTCTGATTTTTATTTTGAATGAACTTGGGACTTCCTCTATGCACAGCATGTGCTCTACCATATTCCAGGGAAGCAACAGTTATCCCTCACTTCTTTCACGGAGTAGGATATGGCATAATCTTCCAGCACTTCCTACGTCAAAATGCTTCCACCTGCACCGGTCCACTTGCCATGGCTAGAATGAGCCTCCATGTGGCTCAGCACCAAACGTATGGTCAGCACATCTGGTTTCTTACACAAAAAGGTGCCTGCCTCTTCTCAGGTATGAGAACTTATCTTTGAATGGGGTGGTAGTAGGCAACTAGACCCTTTGAGTAGATTCAGCCCAACCAACCCTGAGGCAATTTTATTTGGCCCTGGAAGCCCCACCAAGATCTAATCTAGGGGCGGGGAAAGGTTGCTCACGGTTGCATTCATGGAGAAAAGAAGAATGTTTGCAAGCTGTAATAAACAAAAGCTATGCCAATACACAGAAATTACATACACAAGGATAAAAATGGGATGTATGTGATGTGCAAGATGCAGAATGTGTGGTGCAATGGCAGCTGGTGTCAGATTTATTCTAGGGAGATCCAAGTTCAAATTTCTGGCAACGGACTGGATGGCTTTGGGCCAGACACCATCTCTCAACCTAGCCTACCTTAGGATAAAAGACAGAAATTATGCATGCTGTCATTTGAGAAAGGCAGAATAAAAAGATGACAATGATACCTTTATTATGAAGCATGTCTACAGAGGAAGTTGCATTAAACCGAGTCAGGGCATTGGGCCATTTAGCTCAATATTGCCTACACTGACTGGCAGAGGCTCTCCAGGGTTTCAGGCAGGCAGTCTTTCCCAGCCCTACCTGGAGATACCCAGGTGCGAAACTGGGACCTTTTGCATGCAAAGCAAATGCCCTACTGCTGAGTTACCTATCAGCCATTCAGATGTTTGCAACAAACTTCCTTATGCCTTCCCCAGAGGAAAGTCTGGAGGACTGAGCAGCCCCCCCCCCAAGTGAATAGATGTGGGTCATCCCTGTTTTAGAACTCCAACAAGGAGTACAGGAGATTACCATCTGGATATGGCCCCAAAGCGCTGCTGCCTCTTGTCTGTCTCCCTTCCTGCTCAGTCAAGTTTGCACTTCCACATATGTTACACTTGGGCCAGACATAACAGCAGCACACACACACACACCCTGGGGGGGGGGGAGGTTAATCCAACAGCATACTGTGAAGGAGTTAGCCAGGAAACGTGATGTATGTGTGCACACCCTTCGTTCCCAGCCTCGTCCACCCCCACGCCAGTCCTGGCCGCTGCCTTTTTCCGGCTCCTAGGCTTACAGAGAGTCTGGTTTCACTTCTTTCCAGCTGCATGTGTGGATGAGCTCCAGGTGCTGAGGAGCCAAGAGAGCAGCTGTTCCCTACCCACCCACCCACCCCCCACTCTTCCAGCAATAGCTATCAGCCAGCCTTGGTATTACTATAGCTCAGCTGAGAATGAACAGCGAGGAGGAGAAAGGAGACCTCCTTCGAATTGCTGGTACACAGCTGTGGTTTGCAGGCCACCCTGCTGGGAGAAAAAACCAGGCCAAAGAAGTCAGGTTAAGGGGGAAAGTCAGGAATACACACATTCCTTGTTCTGATCCTATTACTTCCCAAGGAGAAACACTGAAAGATCGAACCAGGACATTGAGATTTGTCCCCCCCCCCACCCTTTAATGTAGGCATCTAATGCATGATATATTTTCTCTCTCTCTCTCATGCCTCTTACAAGCTCAGCTGCTATCCTGTCCTAACTGGGGCCCTGTCAACGACCTGCTCTTTGCATCCTCTGAAACCACAGCTCTGATGCAGCAACTGTCAAGCTACAGGTTACATTAATTCTATCAAGAATACCTGATACATTGCTTTGGGAAACTAGTGGAACAACCATCTGTGGTGGACAACCTCACAGCGCACTCCTGCGTCAGTATATCGCCAATGTGCAACCAACCAGAGACACAATGAAGACTGCATGGGTTGGTGGCACATGGCTGAATTTATAGTCAGGTGGGCAAAGCTCCACCAGCACTAAAAACTTCCTTAGTTTGCAGCACTTTGCGCTGAAGGGCAGATTAAGCCTGCCTCTTCTTTCACTGTTCATTGTGAACAGTTGCCCCGCCATCCCCACAGGAAAGCTGTACCGCTTTGTAAGCTTCATCTGCAGTTTCAACTGTCCCATGTCTCGTGAGATCTTGAAACTTGTCTTGGGCTCTTTTGCTACCACTGTGCACCTTCTCCATCAAACGGTAGTTCTTCACTTTTACTTGCAAGGAGTGACGGTATCTGTTTATTCCAAAAACATCCTGACAGTAACCTTTGACTTGGGCTTTCCACCCTGGAAAAGGAGTATCATTCTAGAGCTACCACCAACTGGAACCCCAGGCTCCATCATCCTTCTCAGCCGGCAGAATCGCACTGTTTTTGTCCTGCAGAAACTAGTGAACTTTTGGCTCCACTCATGTTTCACTAGGCAAGGCTCCTCCACGATCCTCATTAAAAAAAAATAGGTCTCTCTTTCTGTGATCAGTCAACAATATGCATAGCTGTGTTGGGAGACGAGCAGAAAGCATCCTTGTGGGAGGAAACGCCTTCCCTGCTCTCATTCTGCTGGTGTTTTTTTTAAAGGAGTTTTTCCCGGGGCTCTTTGTAAACAAATAGTTCTGTGTGGCAAGGAAACTCGCAAACCCAAGGTCAGGGCGACGTTTGTAGGGGAACAGCCTGACACACAGCCAGCCAGCCCTGCCACTTGCCTCTGGCTTTTCATCATCCTTCCTGGATTGGGCCAGTTCCCTTTCACTGTTCCAAACATCGCTCAACACATTCAGTAAAAACAGGACAAAAGTTGCCCCCACACTGCCAGGTTCCACTGTCCTTTTTCTCTCTTCCCAAAACATTGGAGGGCGCTGCCAAAGCCCCCTTCCTGGCTCCCCTCATTCTGCCCTGGAGTACAAGAAAAAGGTGGGGTTCTTGCCAGCCATGGGTCTACCTGCCGGGGTTTGGGTCTGGTGCCTGCATCACAAAGCCCCCTGTTCGACGGAAGCAGGCTCCTCTTGCTGTTTCTTGCGCTGCCGCTGCCTCTTGGCCCGCCAGCAGACCAAGGCGCCCACCAGCAGGCCCACCCCGAAGATCAGGGTGGCCACCGAGACCACCTTGGCAATGTCCATCTGCCGCCCATTGATGGTGAAGGTGATGCACGTGGCAGCAATGCCAATGACCAGGGAGACGATGCCAAAGGGGAAGACGCAGCGGTACCAGGATTTTTCCGTGCCCCCCGTGGCCAGCGCCAGCTTGTTGAGTGTGGCCGTGGAGTCGGTGGTGGCAGCCACTGCAGGCAGACCCGGCTTCCCTCCTTGCAAGCAAGTCAGCGAGTTGGACTTGCAGCCCATCATCCTGGCAAGGTGCACAGGGGCAGGTGCCCACGCGAGCCTGGAGAGTTTGCAGTCACAGCATGGGCTGCAGCCTCCTGCCCCCAGCACAGCTTTCTCTGCAAGGGAGAAGAAAAGTGAGAAAAGCAAAGTCCTGTGTTCTTCCTTGTCTTCCTCGGTCTCTTTCCTTGGGCTCTGGCTGCTGTTGCCGCTGTTTGCTTTCTGCTCTGAGCTGTGGCTTGGAGGACTCTTTTGCCGCAACATCAAGAGGCGATTGGCAGATGGGAGCAGTGATATCATACCTGTGGGCGGGAACTCTGAGCCTGTTAACTGTTTCAGAGGAACTGCAGGCAAACACTGGGTTTGAGAGAGTCCCAGGGAAGAGACTGATGCTAACTGGCTTCTAGGATTTTATTCCAGTTTGCTCAGATTCCCTCTCCCCGCCCCTCCACCATTTCAGATTTAAACACTTGCTTTGTATCTGGAGTTTATTTATTTTTAAGTGTTATTGACTTATGGTTTTTCAGATGTATTTCACCTTTGTAAGTTACTTTGGCCCCTTTAGTGCTTTATTTCAGAGGTGAGGAAACTTTCTCAGCCCAAGGGCCACATTCTCCTCTAGACAACCTTCAGAGGGCCACATGCCAGTGGTAGCTGGGGCCAGAGGCACAAGTGGTTGGAGCAAGAAATGTAGTTTTTAAGCTTTGTACAGTAGGCAGGTTTCTATACACACACACAAACATATGAAAAGAGGCAGTCCTTGAGGTATTGCAGTCCTGAGCCATTTAAGGCTTTATAGGTCAAAACCAGCACTTTGAATTGGGCCCAGAAACTAATTGGTAGCCAGTGCAGTTGGGCCAGGATCGGTGTAATATGCTCAAACCGACTTGCTCTGGTGAGCAACCTGGCCACTGAATTCTGCACAAGCTGAAGTTTCCGAACCATCTTCAGATGCAGCCCTACATATAACACATTGCAGCAATCTAACCCTGAGGTTACCAGAGCATTGGCAACATTAGTTAAGCTATACAAGTCCAGATAGAGGTGTAGCTGGGCCACCAGCCGAAGCTGATGGAAGGCATTCCGGGCCACTGAGGCCACCTGAGCCTCAAGCGACAGCAAAAGATCCAGGAGTACCCCCAAGCTACAAACCTGCTTCTTCAGAGGAAGTGTAACCCCATCAAGAGCTGGCAATCTCCCACCCATCTGCTCTAGGGAACCACCCACTAGCAGTGCCTCAGTCTGATCTGGATTGAGCTTCAGTTTGTTGGCTTTCATCCAGTCCATTGCTGAGGCAAGACACTGGTCCAGCACTTCCACTGCCTCACCTGCAGATGTAAAGAAGAAATAGAGATGAGTGTCATCAGCGTACGGCTGACAACGTACTCCAAACCTCCAGATAACACCCCCAGCAGTTTCATGTAGATGTTAAACAATGTGGGGGATAGGATTGAGCCCTGTGGAACAGAACCCCACATTGAAGGTTCCATGGGGCTGAAAAGCATTCCCAAGCAACACCCTCTGGGAGTGACCATCCAAGTAGAACTGGAACCACTGCAAAGTAGTGCCACCCACCCCTAGTTCAGACAGTCGCTCCAGAAGGATCCCATAGTCAATGGTATCAAAAGCTGCTGAGAGGTAAGAGGACCAGAAAGTTCCAGGTCAGTCTTTGTCACTGAGTTAGTAATGACAGGATTGTGCTTGGGGTATACATTGTGCCTATGGATTTGGAAGCAGCATATACCTATTATGGTTCATAAAATCATGAAAGCACCATGCAAATATGTTTTGAAAAATTAATCCTCCCCCTCTGACCTGCAATCCAAAAGCTTTTAACTGTTAGTCATTTTTTAAATTCTTTGTTCTCCTGCTTTGTAAAACAAACCTGAATAAAGATGATAATCCTCCTACATATACATTTAGAAACAACTCCATTGCTGCTATCGTTGTTGGTTTTTTGGAGTGTATACATTTGGTCTCTTTTGTCAAGCATAACAACATTGCAGGTTATTTTTATAGAGCTTCCTTCCCACTTTTCTGGCAATGCAAAGCACTATTGATCAGTTAAGTAAAAGGGAAAAGTTATAAAAAGGGAAGAGGCTGTGGCTCATTGGTAGGGCATCTAATTTACATGCAGATCCCAGAGCTCATGGTCTCGGGTTCAAGGCTGGGAGAGCTCCCAGTCTGAAACTCTGGAGAGCTGCTGCCAGTCAGTCTAGACCAGGGGTCAGCAAACTTTTTCAGCAGAGGGCCAGTCCACTGTCCCTCAGACCTTGTGGGGGGCCGGACTATATTGGGGGGGGGATGAATGAATTCCTGTGCCCCACAAATAACCCAGAGATGCATTTTAAATAAAAGGACACATTCTACTCATGTAAAAACATGCTGATTCCCGGACCATCTACGGGCTGGATTTAGAAGGCGATTGGGCCGGATTTGGGGCCTGGGCCTTAGTTTGCCTACCCATGGTCTAGACAGTCCAGAGCTAGATGGAATAAGGATCTGGCTCAGTGTAAGGCAGCTTCCTTTGTTCCTAAAAATAAACAATCATTATTATCCAAGGGAGATACTTCAGTTGGGGTTTTAAACGCTCCCCTCTTAACATCCCCCCCCCCCAGCTCATCTAACAGTCCTTGAGAAACCCAGCCACTGGTTGTTGTGTCCTGTTCTGTTCCATCCTGCCCCCCCCCCCCCCGAATAGGACTCTGCCAGGCTTTGATCAGATTGCATGTGGTTTTACTTTCATGCACAATTTGGCCTTCACCACTAGGGAGCTGTCCATAGTACCAAGACCATGGGTTTTGTGCTACCCTTTTCACCACCTGGCTCCTGGCTGGCTGAGACTTTTCCAAAAGGAACATGCAAATACTGCTCACACACCACATCTGGCTTGGTGAGCTCCTCAGACTTCCCATAATGGTTTCCTACTTCCCTGATTCTGCTTCTCCTACTGATCAGGAACAAGACCCAGCCAGTGTGTTACTTCCTTGGAGATGAGTTATACATCCATCTCCTTGGAGAATATATCACTCCTGTCCTGATTCATAACAGTATGCATTCTCATCTTTCCACCCCTCCCTTTTCTTTTATGGGTTCTCCCCTTAGCTACTCTTTTAGAAAACTATGGAAGGAGTCAGTGGGTGAGGCTTGAGGGTTTTATCAGAGCCCCCAAACAGACTTTGACTCAGAGGTAAGTTCCACTGATTTCTTTTAAGTGACAAAGGCTTAGAAGCTCCCAAGAGCCTGACTGCTTGCCCGAAATGGCATTTCATCATTAATGCTGCGCTCAGATCATGTTGGGGCATGTTCCATGGCTTTTTAAGGCAGCCGTTCATATCTGGAACATTCCAGCTCAGCACAGAGTCCTTTGACACTTGACATTGCAGCAGTGTAAATGATGCTGCACGGATAGTACTTCTACACTTGCAGCATCATTAAGACTCGGGTGAAAATCATACAGGAAAGCAGTCAGCAACAAGAAATGGAACAGTGCTCCTAGTCAAGGGTGAGTCACATCTTCAGAGCTGCGTAAGCTATTCAATATTACAGTACCCCTAAATGCCCACTTAACCATCTATTCAGCTTTTTCATTGCAGTTTGTAAAATAAATCAAGTCTTTTTATCATTTGGATTTTCTGGTTGGGGAGCCTTCGGGTGGAAGTTCCTTAGATCAGAGATGGGGAACCCCAGGAATTGGGGACACATATGCCTCCCAAGTCTCCCTATCTGGAAAGTAGGTGGGTCAACAAAACCTGTATTTACTCTCACATTCTTCTCTAGCCTCTGTGCAGGCAAGCAAGCAAGCAAGCAAGCAGCATGATTAAATGTGCATTGTAGCCAGGCAGAAACATTCTAAGGTAAAGGGGCCCCTGACCATTAGGTCCAGTCGTGGCCAACTCTGGGGTTGCGGCGCTCACCTCGCTTTAGTGGCCGAGGGAGCCGGCATACAGCTTCCGGGTCATGTGGCCAGCATGACTAAGCCGCTTCTGGCGAACCAGAGCAGCGCACGGAAATGCCGTTTACCTTCCCGCTGGAGCAGTTCCTATTTATCTACTTGCACTTTGGCGTGCTTTCAAACTGCTAGGTTGGCAGGAGCAGGGACCGAGCAACGGGAGCTCACCCCATCGCGGGGATTCGAACCGCCGACCTTCTGATCGGCAAGTCCTAGGCTCTGTGGTTTAACCCACAGTGCCACCCGCGTCCCATTCAGAAACATTCTAGGAGGGTGCAAAATAGGACCTGTGAGAAGCATGGCTGAGGAGGGGTGTGGCTGGGAAAGAGCCCTAAGGGCCAGTTAGAGAGGCCTGGAGGGTTGCATTCAGCCCCCAGTTTGAGGCCCCATCCCTCCCACGGGGAGCACTGTGGTTGCCTCGCCTCAAAAAGGATATTGTAGAGTTGGAAAAGGTCCAGAATAGGAAATGCAAATGATCAATGGCACAACTCCCCTGTGGAGAAAGGTTTCAGCATTGGGGCTTTTTATCTTTGGAAACAGGTAAATAGGGGGCAGCAGGATAGAAGCATATAGGATTATAGGTGGTATGGACAAAGTCAGGGGTGTGGAACCTCATGCCCTTGGCCAATCTTGGCTTAATCACACACATTTTCCCCAAACCACATTCAGCTGCCCATCAACTGATATCACTGGCTATGGATAAGAGGACAGGGCTCAATCCTGCATCGGCTGCACTGCCTAGGTGGCAGGATTTAAGACTGAACCACCACCGCTGCCACCCACCTGCTTAAAGGAGAAATATAGCAAAGCCTTCTCCACCCACACCCCTTTAAGGGGAAAGAATCCATAAACCAGCATGTCTTCATACTGGACCTATAGGCACTGCAAAGCCCCAGAGAGGATATTGGCAGAATTATTTTGCCCACCTGTCATGTCACAATAACACCATGTGATTGACAGGTGGGTAGCCCCGGATTTCCATTTTCTGAAATATGGCAACCCTAGCAGAAGCTAACCTAACTGTACAGAGGCAAAATTTGCATTTGTTGCTCCACCTGCTTTTGCCTCTGGCCCCACACTCTAGTGGGGTCCCAGAAGATTGCCCAGCCTCTGGCTGGAAAACGTTCCCTATCCCCGGTCTCTAACATGCTGGCTCTAGAGTTCCTGGTGTCTGCCAATTGAGTTGGCAGCTCAGAACTTCCCACTAGAAACACTCCAAATAAGGTTTTGGAGAATTTAGTGTTTCTAGTGGGAAGTTCTGAGCTGCCAACTCTGAGGCCATTGCCTCCTTTTTTGCATGCAGGAGTTTACAGGCCACACAATGGCCACTGTGTTTGCCTGGCCCCATCAGCATGCAGCTCTTCATCCCTCTCCATCCTCTGGAAGCCTCTGTGACACTGCGCTTCAGTCTCGGCTTTTCCTGGCGATAGAAATAACAGGGGGTGGAGTGGGGGCGCTATTGACCTCACTGCTTTACCATCACTACGACTGTCATCACCTTCTTCCCATTTGTCTTTCTAGAAACAAAGCCCATTTTAGCAAGTGACAGAGGAAAGCATTATAGGGCAGAAGCAGGTCTGCGAAAGCAATCGATGCAGATGACGCCACAAGAGTAACGGGGGGGGGAGGAGGAGGAGGATGGCCCAGGAGGGAGGGGGGGTCTCACAAGCTTAATTGAATCCATTCAAGGACAAGGAAAAGAAAGCAAGAAGCTCCTATTTAATTCTTGTGTAGAATGAGAGAGAGCGAAAGAAATAAAAGCATCCAATGATGTGGGGAGGGTAGGAGAGATGGTGAAAGTTTCCCATGATCCCCTTTGTAAAGAAGTCTAGCTTGGAGACTTATTTTTCTCTGGCCAAGTGTTTCAGAAGACAAAAAAAGGCAATGTACACTCGGAAAATCCAAAATTTCCATTCCAGCTGGTTCATTATACAAACTACTCTCTTAAATAATTGGTGCCTGCGTTTGCTTCCCCCCCTTGTCCTTTTGTGACTGTCCTGAGATGCCAGAGTTTAGAAATAAAGAAGAAGAAGAAGAAGAAGAAGAAGAAGAAGAAGAAGAAGAAGAAGAAGAATTCAAAGACAAGGTAGATAAGACCGTATGATTGTTGGAGGTTTTTAAACAGAGGTTGGATGGCCATCTGTCAATGATTCTTTAGCTGCGATTCCGGCATTCCAGGGGGTTGGACTAGATGGCCCTTAGGTTCCCTTCCAACTCTACAATTCTATGAGTCTGATTTGAATGAGGCATACACACAGGTATACATTTGTTCATGTATAGATAAGTGATTTTGCTAGTCATAGAGAGAGGCAGAAAACGCTATAAAGAATGCAAGTTTCACCCATGGGCCATTAAAAGACTCACTCATTCTTCTGCAAGCTTCTGAGATTTCACCAGACATACATGACTCTTGCAGTAATGAGAATGAAAAACTTCCCCATTTCATAAATGTATGGAAGCCATGGGAGGAGCCCAGGACTCAGTAGCAGCCGAGCACAATGCTTCGTGTGCAGAGTCCCAGGTATCCTCTCCAGTTTTCACATCTCCAATTAAAAGGAACCAATAGATGGGAAAGGCGTGTGGCCTGAGGCTCCGGAGAGCCACTGCCAGTCAGAACTCAGAAGAGATAATACTTGGCAAGATGCACCAGACAGCTTCTTCTAATAATTCCCAAAGTGCTGACTTCTGCATCTAATAGGTTGATCTCTGTAGTACTTAAACTCTCTGGTGAACACCGCTACTTCAACAAAGGGCACTAAAGCTCAGTGGTTTTTCTTGCCTTTCCCCTAGCTAAGAATATTCTTAGATTATCACTAGCATAAGGGCAAAGCAAGAGGAACTAGGAGCTCCGATATCCTTCTGTTGAAGCAGCTGTGGTTGTCGCATAATCCCTTTAATTGGATTTGGAGGAGGATGCCTTGGGAAAGCAACACTCTGAGGAAGGAGGAACCTGCCACCCTCTGAATACGGTTGAACTCCAACTCCCTTCGGCCCCAAACCAGCACGGCCAGTGGCCAAAGATGCTGGAAATTATAGGTCCCAACATATGGAGGGCCACAGGTTCTGCTCTAGCTAAATGTGGCCTGCGATTGTCACCCAGAATTTGCTTTACGATGCTGTGCAAACAATACGAACTAGTGATGAACATGAGAGTTGCACACCCTCCAACATTTCTCCAATGAAAATAGGGACATCCTATTCCATACCCTCCAACATTTTGCTGATGAAGACTCCATCTCCTCCAACTTTTCTCTGATGAAAATAGGGACATCCCACCATACCAACTCATCTGGGAGGAAAACCCAGCCTGACCAGCCCCCATGCCTTTAATAGGAACTTAGACTGCAGGAACTAACAGGTAATTTTCTTCACAGTCTACGCACTTTGACACAACTTTGTTAATATATTCAGAAATGTTTATCAGAGTGTTTATGTCCTGAACTCCTGGCCTACCTGGCAGCAAGTTAGTATGTCGAGTCCCCAGCCCAGGGTCAATCCATGTGTCCAGAGTCCAAAGCACAGTCGTGCAGAGATCCTGAAGCATCCAAGCTGAGATCCATCAACATGGGCAGTTGAGCAGACCCAGTGCCTCAGCTCTGTTGCCCTTTTATACTTTGCATGCTGATTGCAGTATCTGGGCTTGATGAGGCATGTGAAGCTCACCTGTTCCAAGCCTACTCCAGCTGAGGAATCACACACCTTCTCCCAGAGCTAGTGAGCCCCACCTGGCCAGCTAGGGAGCTGGGCTCTGGGGCCTTGCCTGCCTCAGCCTCCTGGAGCGCAGCTCCTGCTGCTTCTTACTCCTCAGAGCCTGTCATGTTTGTGGAGACCGGGGGCCCTCTGGCTCTGGTGATGGGTCCTGCTGCTCTGGTTCCTGTGCACTGGCCCCCATTCCTTCGTCATTCTCTGTCACCCCATGAGTATTTCCTACACCAACCTCTCCTTCCCCACCCACAATTGACCCCAATGTGTCCCAGCCCCAGCTCCATCCCTTGCCAGGATCCAGATGGGCAGGGTAAAAATAATAAATAATAAATAATAATTATTATTACTATTATTATTATTCCTTCCTGTTGTCCTGCCAGTTCATGACAATTTACTGTTCTTTTATTTTTATGTAATTGTTGCATGTCATATGCTCTAATGTAAATAAAGATATATTTTGATGCAACAGTGTTAAACAGTTTAAAGGTGAAAATTAATAAAAGCTATGTTACAAAGTGGGGGGGGGGAGTGAACAGAGGCTGTGCATACTGATACCATACATTTAAAGCAGCTGACTTCCCTCCAAAGAATCCTGGAACTGTATTTTGTTAAGGTTGTTGGGAACTGTAGTTCTCTGGGGGTAAATCACAGTTCCCGGGATTCTCTTGAGCTGGTGGGAGAATATACGTTTTAAGTAGATGGTGTGTGCACACAGCATCAATCTCTCCCCAAGGTAACCAAACAACATCTCTTGTGCACAAGAGGGTAAAATCAGCATGCTTGGGGGTGGGGAGGGGAATACAGGATGTTCAGAAATTCAAAGGGAAAAATAATGAGGGGGCGACAGGGTAGGACATACACACACCAAAACAAAAACAAAAAACAGCCAATAAAGACTGAGTATGCTCAGTGGACACAGAATGTGTGTGTGTAAAAGTAGGAAGGAGGAGGGAACGGAACGTAGCGTAACAAAAGAAGATGTGTCTGGCTAGAACATAGAATTGAAGTGACTCCATGCTGTAACATTTTGTTGCAGGTTCCAGTGGTATTATTTAACACCAAGACAAGCATTGAGTGAACACATAAGAAATAAGAAATGCCACGGAATTCAGTGAGCCTTGTTATGGAGTAATCATGTATAGGATACAGCTCTCAACATCACTTTGAGGAATATTTTGCAGCCGGCAAATGTTGTTCCTTCCCAGTTCATGCTGGTTAGGTTTCCTTTGGTAGAAATGCAGAAATCATTTTAGCTGGTGAAGCCTGTCATGTCAGAGTGTTGGGGGTGGGGGAGAATCCCTGTAATAGGCGGTTATTAAAAAGTAGAGGAGTTTAGTTTAATGCCAGTCTTTCTTCGACTGAAAAGACAGGATAAAATAATAAGACCGTCCGTGCAGGTGGCAGGATTGCAGTCTAAAAGACATGGCACGCATCTGGAATCCTGCCCATCTTTGCATCTTGCCACTTCATTTGCTGCAGCGACCATTGTAAGGATGTACTTCTTATTATAATACTCTCTGTGATATTCTTCACAGTGCATCTCGCTCCCGTCCCCCGCACAGAGCAAAAGACAGATCGGGGCAATTGGGCCAGGGTGACTCATTCTGCAGAAAGATAAAGAAGCCAATACCTTAGCTCATCTGCAAGCACCGTTCAGGGAGAGGTGGATGGGCCAGCGGGGGGTTCCGTTTACACCTACGTGGCAGAGATAATGAAAGGGGGAACGGCAAGAAATAACGATGCTCTGCTGCCCTCTAGAGGCTGCTGCCAAGCAACCCTATTTCTCCATTAACATCAGTCAGGGGAGGCTGTTCATTATTTCGACCCGTGTCTGGACGCACTTGGGGGTTGGATGAGAGCTAATAAACGGAATTTAGACCCTGGGAAGACAGAGGCACAGTGTGGGGGGCGGGGCGGGGGTCCCGCATCTCGGAGATTGGACAGTTGCTTATTTTGGATGGGGTTGCATTCCCTCTTGCTGTTTAGAGTTGCTGCTGGATCCATCTTTGTTGCTGGAGTCTCAGGTAGCCTCAGTAGCTAGGAGTGCCTTCGTCCAGCTATAGGTGGTACACCAATTGCAGTCATTCTTGCACAGTGACAGCCTGGCTGTGGTTATTCGTGCACTGGTAAGTTCAGGACTCGATTAGTGGAATGCATTCTATGTGGTGCTGCTATTATTGGGACTGGTCCAGAAGCTCCAGCTGGCGCAAAATGTTGTAACTAGACGGTTTTTGGGGGCGGACTACCTCCAGCACATAACTTCAGTCCTTAAAAACTTCCAATGGCTACTGATGAGTCCAGGATTACCACCTGGTGCCTTATATCCCTGCCTGATGGCCAAGATCTTTGGGAAAGTAAATTAATTGTCCCCCATGACTCAGACGTGGGTGGCGCTGTGGGTTAAACCACAGAGCCTAGGACTTGCTGATCAGAAGGTCGGCGGTTCGAATCCCCGTGATGGGGTGAGTTCCCATTGCTCGGTCCCTGCTCCTGCCAACCTAGCAGTTTGAAAGCATGTCAAAGTGCAAGTAGATAAATAGGTACCGCTCCGGCGGGAAAGTAAACAGC